GAATTGCTCAGTTACTGTGGGGGCTGTGTGGAATAGTGGCAAGCGCAGGGACGGGAGTAGAAGAACTCTGCACCGGTCAGTGATGAAGGAAGCATTTTGGTAGTGCGGTACCGGCCGAGCTCCCCTTTTCCTCGCCCCATTTGTTCTTGCGCCTGCTACACGAAAAGTTTGGCCGGAGAGGGTTTTCCTTTCCCCAAGAGCAAGAGCCGGGATGCAGGGCGCCGGCGCCGCCGAGGGGAGGAGCAGGGGCTCGCCGTCGGCGATGGACAAGCCCGATGAGAGCGCCAAGAAGGCGCGGCTGGACCTGCCCGTCGGCCACTCCGTCAAGCAAGAGCTCGTCGTGCACGACGCGGCGGCCGGAGGAGGCGCCGTCGTCGCGGTGGCGCCGGAGCACAGCCCGAGGGCGGAGCTCGCGGTGAAGATCGACATGTGCGTGCTCCACTGCCCGCTCTGCACCCTCCCCTTCAAGCCCCCCGTCTTCCAGGTTCTTCCTCTGCTCCTTTCCTTTTTCCACACTACAAACTCGATTGATTCTTTCCTGCGGATGTGCTGATCTGCCGCCGGACTCCGATCTGTGTGCCTGCAGTGCAAGGGCGGCCACCTGGCCTGCGGCGGGTGCGCGGCCCAGCAGCCCTCCGGGCAGTGCGGGGCGTGCGCGGACGGCTGCGGCTTCTTCGACCCCTGCCCGGCGCTGGACGCCGTCGTCTCCTCCACCAGGGTCCAGTGCCCCAACGCCGGCTGCCACAGGTACGTCACCTACCACCAGGCCGAGGAGCACCGGAGCGCCTGCGCGCACGCGCCCTGCCGCTGCACGGAGCACGGCTGCGGCTTCGTCGGCGCGGCTTCGGACCTCGCCGCCCACCTCAGCGCCGCCCACTCCGTGCCGGTGCGCCCCATCCACTACGGCAAGGTGAGCCGGTTCCAGGTGCCCGTGTCCACGCCGCGGCTGCTGCTCGTCGGCGACGACGACGGCCGCGTGTTCCTGCTCACCGTGGGCGCGCTCGGCGCCGCGGCCACCGCCGTCTCCGTGGTCTGCGCCAGGGGGAGCGCGGCCACCAAGCCGCGGTTCACGTGCAAGATGTGGGTGAACCTGACCGCGTCGGCGGCCGCGAACGGCGGCAAGGCGGACATCGTGCTGGTGGAGATGCAGATGAGGAGCAGCACCTCGCCCGGCGCCGTGGTCGCCGCCGGCGAGCCGACCTTCCTCGCGGTGCCGCCGGTGTACCTGGTCCCCGGAGCGGACGGGGGCGATGCCATGGAGGTGCCCCTCAACGTGCGCATCGACAAGGCTCTGCCTTGGTCCGACTGACTGATTGATTGATTGAGGTCCACCGATCGAGATGCAACTGAAACTATCTGGAGTATGATTGAAGACACTTGCACTGCATGCTACTGGTCCTGTTGAGAAATGCCATAACCATGGATGCCAACTCATAATTCTCCGAGCTTATCAAATTGATGTGAAAAAAGGACCCATTTTTATTGTTGTTTTTGTGTGCACCCTTGGAAATTCGCATGCTATTGAACACATCATTTTCATTTTCATTTTCATTTTCCTTTTGGGGTATCATATACATATATACATTTCTCTACCTACCTACCGCACGATCGATCTTTGTACAGCTCAAACTAATGTCAAGAAACGTACTTTGTGTGTGTCTTTCTACGGTTAGAAAACCACGCACATGCTATCTGATATGGAACTTCTATTTTTCTCTACATAGTAACAAAAAAATAGGTTCAAGTAGTAGCCTATGCTCCGCATACACATTTTCTTCTTCTTTCTGTTATGTATAACCTCTCCAATGTAAAATTATCACATTGTCTAACGAAATGATTTTTCTAGATCTTCCATCCGAAATTTGTATATTTGTTATAAACATTTTGTCTTGAAAAAATGTCAAAACCTCTCGGCAATATGTTAAAAACTTAAAATAGATGCTGGCCATTGAGACCGAAGCATCTAATTACAAACCGAAACCAACATGGCCTCAACAACATTGATAGAAACATGACGCAAAAATAATGGACCAAAAACACCTACGACTAAGACCATACACTTAAGTATATGGAGGTGTGCCCCTTGTGGCAAAGATTTTTCATCCTATGTGGCACTTAAGTATATGGAGGTGTTCCCCTTGTGGCAAAGAGTTTTCATCCTATGTGGCAGCCTAGCTAATGAAGGCCAGATCACGAGTTTTCACATGGGAAGTGAAGTGATGAGTCACCGTTGTAATGGGGTATCATCCAGGAGCTGACCCACACATTCAAGTTTTCTGGCGTTTTATATAATCTTTCCAATCTAAAATTATTCCATTGTCTAACAAAATGATCTTTCTAGATGTTCGATCCAAAATTTGTGTATTTGTTATAAACATTTTATTTTGGAAAAGGGTCAAAACCTCTCGGCAACAATCATATTTTGTTTAAATAGATGCAAGTCACCGCAGCTAAAGCATCTAATTATAAGCAAGCCGAGAACATGGCGTGAGCAACTTTGACAGAAACACAACACACAATAAATGGACGAAAACCACCTATGACTAAGTCCATATACTACATAATTATGTTGAGGTCTGCCCCTTGTGACAAGGATTTTTCAACCTAGGTGGCAGTCTAACTCATTACACCCAAAACATGAGAAAATGCAATGCCTTTAATTAGGAGACGACAAGGATACGATATGATTGAAGACACTTGCATTGCATGCTACTGGTCCTGTTAAGAAATGCCATAAGCATGGATGCCAACTCATAATTCTCTGAGCTTAAATTGATGTGAAAAAAATGATTTTTATTGTTGTTGTTGTTGTGTGCACCCTTGGAAATTCGCATGCTATTGAACACATCATTTTCATTTTGGGGGCATCATCTTTCTCCACCAACCGCACGAACATTGCTCCATGAACTGCTTAACATTTATTCAGAGAATGCAATCTCGATCTGGATGCTAGGTCATGAGTACAGTACAGCTCAAACTGATGTCAAGAAATGTACTTTGTGTGTGTTTTTCTACAGTTAGAAAACCATATGCTATCTGATGGTACTTCTATATTTTTTGTGTGCATGGTAACAAAAAACAATTATATTCAAGTAGTAACCTCCGCTCCACGTACACATAACTTTTTGAAAGAACTCCTTATTTGGCACTATTTTAGAAGTTGTTTCCTATTTGACACCGAAGAACTTTTCCTTTCTTATATAACATTAAATCTAAATTTTGTTCCCTTTATGACACTTTTGTCCATTCTGACTATGAAAAGACGATTTTACCCCTAGTGCATTATTCACACGACTAAAATGGCAATATTCATTTTCACCCCTCTGCGTCTTCGCAAGACACCAGTATGTAGGTTGGTTGACTTGTTGATCGGCTAATTAGCAACAACAATGTACTGCAGCCAGTCAGTCACAGCCTGATTGCGCACGTGATCACTAACATTCCAACTTAAATTATGTCGGCATCTTTGTTTAGCTTACTCGACCACTAAGCTGCCCGGCATCACGTTTCGACATCCAACTTAAAACTCTAAATCAAGTCATCACAAATTGCGGAAATGCAAAGCTAGCTCAAAGGCTTGATTGATTCCTGGATCAATACCACACACAGGTACGTAACACCATAAACTTCGCATACGTGCACGTGGCTGGGCAGGCTAAGTTTGCTCTGCTTTTGTCCAGTTTCACATGTACGTGTGTTTGTACGTGTGCATCAGGGGTAAAGACAGCTCTGCTTTTGTCCGCTACCTTCCACGGCCATGTAAATATGTGCTTCTCTGGTCATGTGAATAATTCTTGTCACAAGCTTGCATCAGGGGTAAAGCTGTCTTTTCACATGTCATTTAACACCTTTAGTAGTTAAAATGGATGAAAGTGTCACAAAAGGAACAAAATTTAGACTTTGTGTTAGATAAGGAAGAAAAGTTTTCCAGTGTCGAATAACGAAAGAAAATTTAAGACAGTGTTAAATAAGGAATTCTCTCTAACTTTTTCCCACTTTGTATAACCTCTCGAGCGTAAAATTATTGGAATTATGTTCAAGTAGAAATGCCTTTAATTAGGAGACGACAAACGTAGCATCATTGTTAGGTCTAGCTAAGGAAGGAAATATCACAACTTTTCACGTGGTAAGTGAAGTGATGAGTCACCGTTGTGATTCGAGAGGGGGGGGGGGGGTCATCCAAGAGCCGACCCGCCTATTCAAGTTTTCTCGCGAGAAGTGAAGTGAAATATATATTTTTATGTTCAAGTAGTGTAACATCTACTCCATAAGAAATATATATTTGCATGCTACTGGTCCTGTTAAGAAATGCCACAACCATGGATGCTAAGTCATAATTCTCTGAGCTTAAATTCATGTGAAAAAATGATTTTTATTGTTGTTGTTTTTGTGTGCACCCTTGGAAATTAGCATTCTATTGAGCACATCATTTTCATTTTCCTTTTGGGGCATCATATACATTTCTCTACCTACCGCACCATCGATCTTTGTACAGCTCAAACTGATGTCAAGAAACGTACTTTGTAACCTATTTTGAAAACCACACATGCTATCTGATATGGAACTTCTATTTTTCTCTACTCCCTCCGTTCTGAATTACTTGTCGCAGGTATGGATGTATCTAGATGTATTTTAGTTCTAGTTACGTCCATTTCTGCGACGAGTAATTTGGAACGGAGGAAGTACATGGTAACAAAAAAATATGTTCAAGTAGTTACCTATGCTCCGCATACACATTTTTTTTCTTTCTGTTATGTATAACCTCACCTCACGTGAAAGTTCGAGATCAAGAGTCAGGTTAGATGGCTGGTGGCAGGACTGCGAATCCCTTGAATACTGGCCGTCTGATTGCCAGATCTAACGGCACATGTGACACCACATTTCCTCAAATTCATTCCGGTTAATTATGGCCGTCCGATTGTAAAGATCCAACGGCTCACATGTCATATTGCTGGTACACTATATAGTAGTATAGATATTTTACTTTGTAAAAAGTCAAAACCTCTCGAAACAATCATATTTTCTTTAAATAGATGCAAGTCACCGTGGACAAAGCATATAATTATAAACGGATGCCGAGAACATGTCTTGAGCAACTTTGACAGAAACACGACAGAAAATAATAGACGAAAACCACGTACGACTAAGTCCATATATATAATTATGTGGAAGTCTGCCCCTCGTGACAAGCATCTTTCATCCTAGGTGGCAGTTTAGCTCATTACGACCAAAACATGAGGAAAAATGCAATGTCATTAATCATTGTCAGGTCTAGCTAATGGAGGCAAGATGACAAGTTTTCACGCAGAAAGTGAAGTGATGAGTCACATCGGATGGGGTGTCATCCAAGAGCCGACCCATCCATTCAAGTTCTCTCGCGAGAAGTGAAGTGTTTTTTTAAGTGTTCAAGTAGTAATCTCTACTCCATGCACATACAAAATTTTCAATTTTGTGTAATCTTTTCAATCAAATTTTTTTCCACTGTCTAAGAAGAATGATCTATCTAGATGTTCCATCCAAATTTTTTGTATTTGTTATAAGCATTTTATTTTATAAAAAAGTCAAAACCGCTCGGCAACAATCATATTTCATAAAAATAGATGCATGTCACAACGAGGTCGAAACATCTAATTACAAATGGAAACCAAGAACACGGCATGAGCAACATTCACCGAAACACGACACAAAAATAAGGAACTAAAACCATCTACAACTAAGTCCATATACATGATTATGTGGAGGTGCTCCCCTCGTGAAAAGAATTTTTATCCTAAGTGGCGGTCTAATCGGAAGGGGAGCCTTGGCGCAGTGGAAAGCTGCTGCCTTATGACCAAGAGGTCACGGGTTCAAGTCCTGAAAATAGCCTCTTGCAAAAATGCAAAGATGTAGGGAAAGGCTGCGTACAATAGACCCAAAGTGGTCGGACTCTTCCCCGAACCCTGCACAAACGGGAGCTACATGCACCGGGGCTGCCAAGTGGCGGTCTAATTGATTACGGCCAAAACATCAGCAAAAACACAATGCCTTCAAGAGCCGACCCACCCATTCAAGTTTTCCCGCAGGGAGTGAAATGGGTCGAAGTAAACTTTTATATTCAAGTAGTAACCTCTCATCCGCATACAAATAGTGTTTTTTTTTCATTTTGTATAATCTCTCCGATCTAAAATTATTTTCCTGTTTAAAGAAAAATGTTCTATCTAGATGTTCCATGATAACCCACAAGTATAGGGGATCGCAACAGTTTTCGAGGGTAGAGTATTCAACCCAAATTTATTGATTCGACACAAGGGAAGCCAAAGAATATTCTCA